AGTATAAATGAAAAGTAACACAAACTTACACACTCAACCATTTAATATTAAACACTTAGAATATTGTCGTATCATAATTTAGCATTATTAATGATGTTATTAAATAACAATATAATGAATGACTCACCTGATTTAATAATCCGAAGACAATAATAAATAAAATAATAATAACAAAGATGTCATACAATCTTTTGTTAAATGAATATAGAAGAACAATGACAACGGTTCAACACAAAATCTTAACTGTTTTTATTTTTTAATATAATTTCATAAATATAAAAATAAAAGACAAAATATAAATTTAAGGATTTGTTAAATGTTTTTTTTGTTATATGTCTCATATTTTCAACTTTCAAATGTATAAGAATACTTTATGCATTTTTTAAAAAAACTTTCAATATCAATTTAGAGTTTTTTTATTACCCATCATTATCATTATCATTTTTTTTTCTTCTCTTTTTATCTTTTGCTGCTACAATGAAAAATCTTTATAGGATATTGACAACACAAACTACTTAATACATAATAAAAGGTAATTTTTGAAGGTTAAATTTCAGATGCATTTTAGTTATTTAATTACGATTATAGTTAACCGTATCTTTTTTTTTTTTTTGTTTTACACAGTTACATTTTTATCATAAAATAATATGATATCACATATAATATAATTATCATTATTTTCACTCACTATTATTTTTATTATGTAAACATATTTAAAAAAAAATATTTTTTAAAATTATTTCTTCCCTTTATTTCAACATCTATACTTAATGTGAATAAGACAAACCTTACATAGGAGCTTATGACTTATTTTAACCCAACTTATTTAATAAAAAATCATATTTAAATTTTTGAAAAAAATTATTTATTTTAAAAAAGGTTAATTTTAAACTTATAAAAAAACTTGTTAGATTTAATAGATTGGATTATTTATCTGTATAATATAATGAAAATTTAATACACATGTTATATTATTAAGAATATAAGTAAATGAATAAATTTGTAATAAAAATTCAAATTATCAATATTTTTGACATTCAGTATACATAAAAATTTTATACTTATTGTTAGTATGAAATTAAGAAATCGAGAAATTTTTTTTTTTTAGAAGTTATATCTTTTGTTATTTTTCTCCATCTTCATAGTTAGTTCTTTATAATATCTCAAATGTGATATAGAAAATATTTATATATATTTTTGATAAAATTTCTCTCTTTCATTAGTGTGTAATGAAACATTAGTGCCATATGTATAAATTGTTTCTCTTACATTTTTTTTATTTTCCTTTAAAATCTAAATTTTAATAATAGTGAATTAAATTTAATTATACAAATTAAAAAAATTATACATGTATTTAACATATAGGTTATCAACTTATTTAAAATTAAGGGCTCGTTTTGTAATCTAAATATGATAAGATAATTATAGTATTATATTATAATTCATTGTTTTATCCTATCTTTTATTTTATTTTTTTCTTCTAATGTAATTTTTTTTTTTATATTAAAGAGTATTTGAATTAAGATTCATAAAGTAACTTGGTATCCTCTCTAAGATGAATTAAATATATTATTCTCTGTAACTCATTTGATGTGAGTACCATTACGTCTTTTAGATATTTTAATCCTTAGTTTTTTTCCAAAAAATATCCATAAGTTAAAATATTTAAAGTTGGGCAAGTTGAGACACATTTTTATTATCTTGATTGATTACTAAAATATGTCTTTAAATGATTTTTCATTATAGTTTTCACCTCTAAACTTGAAAAATTTAAAAGTTAAATCATTTTACTTATGATTTAACATAAATTTTTGTACGATAAAACATATTTAAACACCTGCTTAAATATGAAATTGTGACAAAAAATATCACTTTATCTTTATTTTTATAAGAGTTGACATAGTAAAAATGAATTATATTTTTTTTATTAAAAATACATGATCCCAAATTATTGACCAAATAAAAATAAGTAATATCAAAAATCTATTTATTGTCATAAAGAGAAGACTAGAATAATCAATGATAACAAAGAAACTTTATTTTTTACATGAAAAATAAGAATACAATGAAACAACTGTATAGCATTAATATCCCAAAATGTTTTTGAACAAGAAAATAATAAAGAAATATAATATAGTACCAATAAGCAACAAAGATGACTTGCAGTAGAGGTCAATGATCTTAATTTTAAGATATTTTTTCAATAATTTGAATAAAGTGTAAGAGTCTGTTTTAATATAAATTATAAATATTTTAGAAAGTTTTCTACTAAAAATAAAAGATTTTTTTTTTTACAAAAATATTTCAAAAATACTTTTAAAATTATATGCAGACAGTATAAATCTAAAACATAATGACAAGATAAAGAATTTTAGTAAAAAAAGAAAAAAAAATGATTATCATAATAGCAAAAAATAAAAGTGGTACAAACATGATACTATTAAGTTAATGTATAAATCTAAAAAATAATGACAAGATAAAGAATTTAAGTAAATAAAGAAAAAATGATTATCATAATAGCAAAAAAAAAAAAATGATACAACATACTATTAAGTTAATGTTGAGTGTTTGTCTTAAGTTTGTGTTTGATAGGAAAGAAAGAAATAAGTGAGAAATAAAATGAAAAAAAATAAAAAAGTGAAGAAAAATAAATAAGAAATAAAATAAATTTTTAATTGTTTGATTGAAGAGAAATAAATAATAAAATGTGTGAAAAATAATATATATATAAAAGAGAAGAGAGAAATAAATAAATAAAAAGGTGAGAAGTATTTTAATTTTTATCATCTCTATTTCTTCTCAAACAACAAACTTTTCTCATTTTTACTCTCTCATTTCTATTATAGTCCTTATTCTCTACCAAACAAAGTATAAATGAAAAACACCACAAACTCATTCTCAACCAAGTGGAATATTAACACGTGGAATATTGTCCTATCATAATTTAGCATTACTAATGATATTATTAAATGACAATAATAAATAACTCACCTGATTTAATAATTCAAAGATAATAATAAATAAAAAAAAGACAATAACAAAGACGTCATACAATCTAACATAGTTCAGAAGGATAATAATAAATATAGAAAAACAATGACATCGGACCAATTTAAAATCTTAACCGTTTTTCTTTTTTAATATAATTTCATAAATATAAAAATAAAAGATAAAATATAAATTTAAGGATTTGTTAAATGTTTTTTTTCTTCATTATATCCTCTCATATTTTCAACTTTCAAATGTATAAGAATACCTGATGCATTTTTTTTAACTTTCAATATCAATTTAGAGTTTTTTATTACCCCATTCTGGTCATTATCATTATCAACTTTTTTCTCTTTTTATTTTTTTCTGCTATAATCTTGATTTTTTTTTTGGGATATTGCCAATGCAAACTATTTAATACACAGTAAAAGACATTTTTCGAAGGTTAAATTTCACATGCATTTTAGTTATTTAATTACAATAGTAGTTAATTTTATATTTGTTTATTTTTCACAGTTACACTTCTATCATTTCATCATAAAATAATATGATATCACATATAATATAATTATCATTTTTTTACTCACTATTATTTTTTTATCATGTATACATATTTTTAAATTTTTTTAAAAATGACACTTTATCCCATTTTTATTATATTTCTCCCGTTTATTCCAATATTTATACTTAATGTGAATAACAGAAACCTTGAATTGGAGCTTATGACTTATTTTAGTCCAACTTATTTAATAAAAAAGTTGTTAAACTTAATAGATCAAACTATTTATCTATATAATAAAATAAAAATTTAATACACATGTTATATTATAAAAAATATAATTAAATGAATAAATTTGTAATAAAAATTCAAATTATCAATATTTTTGACATTTTCACTATAGATAAGGTTTTATATTTATTGTTAGTATAAAATTAAGAAATCAAAAATAAAAACTTTAATAATTGCATCTTCTATTTTTTTTCTTCATCTTCATAGTTGGTTATTTATAATATCTCAAATGTGATGTAGAAAAAAAATATATATATATATATATATTTTTTTTTGATAAAATTTATCTCTTTCATTGGTGTCATATGTATAAGTTATTTCTCTTACATTTTTTTATTTTGCTTTAAAATATAAATTTTAATAATAATGAATTAAATTATTTTTTAATTATGTAAATTAAAAAATTATATATGTATTTAAAATATAGGTTATCAACTTATTTAAAATTAAGGACTCGTTTTGCAGTCTAAATGTGATAAGATAATTATAGTACCATGTTATAATTCATTGTTTGTTGTGTTATTATATGATAGTTTTATCCTATCTTTTATTCTATTTTTTTTGATTAATGTATTTTTTTTTATGTTAAAGAGTATTTGAATTAAGATTTAGAAAGTAACTTGGTATCCTCTCTACGATGAATTAAATATGTTATTCTGTATAAATCATTTGATGAAGGTGCATTAGAATTACAATTATCATCACTCTTATCATGTGAATACCATTATGCCTTTTAGATATTTTAATCCTTATTTTTTTAAAAAACAATCATAAGTTAAAATATTTAAAATTATGCGAATTAAGACACATTTTTATTATCTTTATTGACTATTAAAATATGTCTTTAAATGATTTTTCATTATAGTTTTTACCTCTAAACTTAAAAAATTTAAAAGTAAAATTATTTTACTTATAATTTAACATAGATTTTTATACGATAAAATACTAAATCAAACATGTAATTCTTTATAACTAATGAGATGAAAGAGTATATCAGAATGTGGTTATCTCCATATAGTGAATATTTTAAGATTTTGAAATTTTATTGTTAGTGTTTTCTAAGTGAAAAAACAAAATAAAAACAGATAAAGTAGTTTTTGTTTTTACAAAAGAAGAGGGTAAAGGAGTTTATAGTATTATTATTATTATTATTATTATTTTTTACTCAGGGGTTTAATATATCTCTTTGGCTGAGGCAAGAAGTGCAGTAGTAGTAGTAGTTTAGAACAAGAGTGTTGGCAATGCATTGAAATTTCTGCTTTCTGATTAAGCAAACTCAGACAGCACTGCAGCAAAAGCAATACTCTCTCTCTATGTCCCTTTCTTCTCCTCCATCACCGCCTTCCACACGCTATATAAATACCATAAACCCCACACTTCTCTTTGGCTTACTCGATTCCATTTTCAAAACCTGCCTCACTCTTCTCTCTCGATTCGCTCCGCCATGGCCGATAGCCTCGCCGTCCTCGCCGAGGCTCTTCTGCCATCCTCCTCCGCGGACGAGTTTCTCCAGAGGCTCCGCTCCGATGATGCCGTCCGGTCAGGTCTCACAGCCTTCTGCTCCGTCCTCCGCGGCGGCCTCCAATCCTCCGATGACGGAACCTTGCGCTTCCTCTCGTGGAACGACGCGCAGATTCACGCGATTTCCTCTCTCGCCTGTGCAATCGCTTCCGCTTCTCGATCTTTGTCAGGTGCTCTTTGCTTCGCTATACCGTCGGAAATTGTTCTTCGGTTGCGTTTTGCTGGTGTTGTACGATTTGGCTTGAGTGATCCTTGTTGTGGTGTGCTGTTTGCAATTGTTTTTGTTGACATAACTTAGATACAGTTTTATTTAGTTCTGTAAGTGCTTTTGAGATTGTTCTCCTATCAGATTGAAGTTTTAACTGGCAATCTATCTTGACCTTGAATGGAAATCTCGTTACATGGACTAATGAGAATTGAGATGAAACTACTTCATTTCTGACTGGAGAATAACATCAAATAAACCTATGAAACTAACCACATCTAAGTTTTTTTTTTCCTTCTTCTGTGGTTGCATTTTTTATGTGTTTGAAATGATTTTCTTTTTTTCTTTTTTAAATTTTAATTGTCTTGTTTTGGTTGTTTGTGTGAACAGTAGAGCAAGCGGAGGGCGTGCTGGTTGCGATTGTGCAACAGTCTATAGAATTTGTTCTTTGCTATTTGGAGAAATCTGGATTCGATAGTGATGATCTAGGAATTCAGGTATGTTTACTAGCTTCTTCGCTTTTTCGGAAGTTCTGTAGTATGCATAATTGATGGAATTAATGTGCTGTTCTCAGCAAGACTTTAGAGATGTCTAATTTAGTTGCCAAATTCTTAAATGAGTAATAAGATACAGTGGAATCAGAAACTATTATCCTAATGAAATTTAAAGGTTGTTGTACAGGGCACAATTGTATTAATTATTAAACTGTTACATGATATTATGTATAAACTTTCTATATAATCTATTTGACTCATAGTTTTTTCAGTAGATGAACCAGAATTCATTAAAGGCGATTGGAGACTATAGTCGGTTAGCCTATCCCCTTCGCAATTGGTCCAAACAGGACTTGAGTGTTGCAACTCTAAGAGGGAGTACCCCCTACCCGATGCTCAACAGTCAGGAGGAGAAAATGATAAAATTAAAAAAAATTACGTTAAAGATGATGAGCGTCCTATAAAGTTAGAAGATTGAAAATAGACAAAATAGAGAAAAAAGGGATCAGTTATGCATGATAATATCAGAATAGCATTGTTCCTTAATATCACTGGATATTTGCCGACAGATATTTAAAGCCTATTGTGAGATATTTATAAGTTGAATTATAAAAATAAATATTAGGTCCAAATGCCCAATTTTATTTTATCCTGCTTCTTACATCATGATATATTGTATGTTAATAGGTTTTCTGATTTCTATCCCTGACAGAGGAAGCAAAAAGGGTCCTTTACTAATATGCATTTAGAACAAAATAGTGTCTGGTGGGCATAGGTTAAATTGATTTTATTGTGTCAGTACTAGGTGTTTTGACCTATCTTTTTTTTTTTCCTGTTAATGTTGTGGGAATTTTTTGTGTATTACTCATTGTTGTTGAACCTACCAGAACAACATGATACATCTTTTAGAGATGGCTTTGGTTGATGGAATAAATATGGTAGCAGACATGTTGCAACCTACAACTGCTAGTGCCTTGGTAGATATGTTGCCGATGGTTGATGATTGTTGTGGTACTTTTGTGGACGACTACAAAAAATGCCATCTTGAAGGTAAAATGTTAATATCCAAAATCACCTAATTGTTGTCTTGTCATGGTTTTCCTTCTAACCTAACCACGTGCTTCTACTTTTCTCACATGCAATAGGCTTCAGATGCTCAAAAGAAAGAAAATCAATGGACTGGCTTCTAAAGACTTTGGCATCTGAACGGGTGCCTCATGATAGGCAAGAATCTGGATTCATTGAACAGACATATTATCAATATCTTAATAATTTTGTCTTTCTATCCCAGCACTGGGCCATTGTCCATGGAAAATGCACTTCACGCTTGATCTTGCTATGCAATAAGCTAGCTAAAGTAAAAGATATATTTGATGAGCGGGCAGTGAGTCAAAATTTTCGAAGGAGACTGTCATTCATTCTGAGGATCTTAAAGATACTTGGAAGTCTTTTGAAGGATGTTCCATATGTTGAATATGATGCTTCATTGATGACAGCAGTTGCCACATTTTCTGATACTCTGTCTAATTTGTTTAGAATTAAATTTGAGTTTGTAAATACCTATGCTACTACCGAGGGAAGTTTTGACAGCATTATTTTAATGGTTCTAGAAGAATTTCTTCAAAGTGTTCAGGTTATTTTTGGTAATAGCAATGTTACTCAGAATATCCAAACATGTATTATAGCAACTATATTGGAGAATTTGGATTCTTCTGTATGGACATATGACAAATCTGCTCAAAATTTGAAGCCCCCTTTAGCTTACTTCCCCCGATTTGTTGTTTATACACTGAAACTTGTTAATGATCTGAAAAGACAGAAGCATCTGATTCCTCTTGACTGGAAAGACTTTGATGTGGAACTTGGCAGTTGTACTGACTCACAGAATGGTTCTCCTTCGTGCCTTGTTCATCAGGAGTCTGTTCCTTTGCTGAAGGGATATGCTTTTGAAGAGCTTCTAAAAATGATATTTCCTGTGTCAAGCCAGTGGGTTGCCAATCTGATGCAACTTGCTTTGTTCCTTCATTCTGAAGGACTGAAATTAAGGCCAAAAATGGAAAGGTCCCAATCTAGTCTGGCAAAAGTTGCTGGAACATCTGAAGTTGAAAATGCAGTATGCCATGAGGATGAGGCTCTTTTTGGAGATCTTTTTTCGGAGACTGGGCGCTCTGTTGGATCCACGGATGGATGTGAACAACCACCTGTTGCTTCTTTAGTTTCTAGTTCGAGCTATCAAAATATGCCAATGCAAGCTGCTACAGAACTTCTGAACTTCCTTAAAACTTGCATATTCTCTGCTGAGTGGCATCCTTCTCTTTATGCCGAGGCCTGCAACAAACTTAGTAGTAGAGAGATTGATATTTTGCTTTCCCTACTCAATTGTCCGGCCTGTGGTTCAGAAGATAATATGTATCATAGTTGTAAATTGTTAAATGAAGCTGGGA